ACATACTCAAGATGCCGGGCCAAATTCTGCCCTTCGTTATGATCATTCAACTAATCTGGGAACCTTGCTTGACACGATATTTTAATTCTTTGATTCTTTGAAAAAAAACTATAGCGAAAACAGAGGATTTGCATTCATCAGGTATCACACACATGTCATTAGTTAAACAAACATAACCATAGAAGGATTTAGAGGGATAAATATATATATATATTTCATATTAATTTTTGTATACTCAACTTGTGACTATTCCACATTGCTTTCTGGAAAGCCTTAATGTGATTTTTGAACATTCAGACTTAGAACTGCTCTGACAGAGGGCCATGGAAATGTCTGCTCATTTCAGAGATAGGGAAACAGAGAGAACATGCTGCTAAGGGAGATATCTTCATTTCTAAATCTGTGAACATGTTGCTATGTTAGTAGATTTTTCCTGTTCCTTTTATCCTTTATTTCATCTCACATATCTGTTCTCAAGGACGGCACTAGAATTAAACTGCTAACTTGGTATTTGGAAGACCCAGTTTTAAAATTCTCCATCCCTTTACAAATATGGAACAAATCTGAGGACAGCAGTGGCCATCTGTTAGATGGAGGTTACAGCATTTTCCCTACAGCACAGAGAAATGAAAAGAAAGTGTGCTCTTCAGTGATTTTCTCTCTCCTTTTCTGAATGTTCTGCTCTGTGAAATCAGCCTCAAAAATTTCCACTGACTACCATGGAAACTGCATTGGGCCAGTAGAAGTCACAGGGATGACAGATGGTAAGAAGTTATGTATATGACCACCATATAAATTGCTCACCGAATGCTGAATTTGGATTAGGGTATTGGCACCTCATGTGATTAGAGTTGCACTCAAAGGCAGATAGGGTACCACTGGCTAGAACAATACCAAATTAAATAGATGCAAGCGCTTCATGAGACACTAAAGCAGGGGTGAAAAACATATTCAGTGTTACAACATCTTATCAACCATCAGTGGATTACTTTCTTGTCTTGCTCCACTGTGTAGGTTCATCAATCCATAAAAAATCCATATGCAAAAGAAAGGAAAAAATGAAAAAAGCCAATTTGACTAAGATGATTGTCAAAGAAAGGAACTGACTGGCTCAAGGAACTGGAAATAAAAGATGAAACCTTTGAAATCTATGTCACCACCTCAAGACTGGCTCAGATCTGCACTGACCCATAGCTATTATTGTAACTGTGTGAGATTTTGGTACCCCCCATGTAATGGGATTGGGCTCTTAATCCAGTTAAGAACAGATGTTCACATCAAGCAGCTCAAAATCCAAAAACCACTCTGTCACTCAGTTGGAAGAAATGTGAAAAGAAAATCTCATTTGTGACATGGAAGAAATTGTCCCCTTGTTAAAAGTTGGAAATTGAGGGAGACACTACTTCCTTTCTACCTTGCTCTGTTTAACAGTAAACTGCAGTCTTTGGATGTTACAAGAAGACATTCTAGGCAGGTGAATTTGTCATCTGCACAAGCAACTTAGGCCTCTCTGGGCAGGGAAAAATTCACAATGTCCAATTCTTATTTTGCATTTTATCTTCCTTTTCAAGTGATACAGAAATAAGTCAATCTTTCAAAAGGCCGCTTGCCACCAACAATGAAAAGATGCAATTGAAAATGAAAACAGCGCTTCGCATAGTTTCCTTTCATTATAAACTCTCAAAATTTTTTCATATAGCTAAAAAGCAGTGGTAGGCAAGGGGGAAAGCGTGCAACACTCTCATCTGGATGATTAAATAATAAAAGAGAGAGTCATTTCAGTAAAGCTGCAATGAGAAAAAAAGAAAGCTTTACATTGAACAGATACAGCTAGAGGAGCAGTCAACAAGACGTGAGCAATGGCAGACTGGAAATGTTTCTCCGCACACAAATTGAATAGATGAGAGAATATATTTTCACCATTGCTCTTAAAATTAGCATGAATAGATCATTCATCCCAGATGAGTTAGGCACCCAACCGATGTCCAAATTTATTTCCACAAGAAGTGACACTGACAAAATGGCAAATGTGTGCTACACAAATTACACTCAACCATTGATTTTTTTAAGTTCAGCAGCCCATCTTGTGCGACTGCTTATAAAGGCAGACAGACAGACCACACCGACTGCAGCAGTAAACTGAACTCATATCTCACACTGACTCGAAGATGCAGTTTGACACGTGCTGCCTAAACAAACCTGAGCACGTCAGTTACTTTCAGATGATTTACTTGTTACAGTGGCTCGCAACATAAAAGCCAACAATCAGTCATTAGCACGCAGCAGAGGAAATTTTCCCAGGGTATTATGTAGCGTATTTGGACAGCCAGAACTCACTGCTATTATTTATTCACACCACTATAAATTATTCTTCTCAAAATGAACCCAAGTCACGTAAATGCTGACTTGGAAAGCACCAGAGCCCTCTCTTTTCCTGCTGCATGTATTTTCCCTTTTTAATAAACTTCCTGCCTACAAGTGAAAAAACAAAGTCTGGCGGGGTTTACGTGTTTCAAATCAATGCCACAGAAGCAAGGAGGAAACCAGTTTGGTTAACATTTGCTACGTCCCTTTTAAGGCTGTATATTTGTTGTGGGCTTAAATCGTTCCAGCTCTGCAAAGCTGCTAAACAGAGTACTGATGAAACATATTGATACCTTAATATTGACATGAGAATCAGATTATTAGGTACAGGCTTTTCCTTCCTCTTTTTTAAATACTTATTTTTGTCCTATCAAAGGATGTCCGACCAGGTACACTAAATACATAGTAATTTTGAATAGCTGTATGCGGGGTAATATAAAGCAAGGAAACTAGCAGCAATTGATGAGATTGAGTTCACACTGTAGAAAGGCTTCTGGGACACAAATGCTGCTCATATTCCCCATATGATGAGGTCTACTAGAAATGGTGTTGTGACACCAGTTCATTTTACACAAGCTTCCAGATAGGCAGTGTCTTGTAGACGCTGTTAACAAGCGTTAACTGGGGAAACTAGGACTGAAAAGCTCCTTGGGAGTCATTATAACCAGCCAGACACTGGTGCCAAATCATTACATTGAAGCACTTCAGGGCGACTCTGGGGTGGTTCATTCCAACCACAGATACTTCCACAAAAAAAAACTGATGAACAAAAGGTTTTGCCCATTAAAAATGCAAGCAAACAATGACTTCTCCTGCTCTGTTTTATGGTGCATGTAATTTTGAAGGGCAGCTAACTGGAGGTACGGAGTATGAGCACAGGAGAGGAACTGAGCTATGCTCATAGATCCAAGGGCTTTTCAAGGGCTCACCATTTTCCCACTAAGACAAATGAGTGACAGAAAAGCCCCCTAAAGTTATCTACATTGCTGCAAAGTTTAAGGCCAAGGTTATTCAACGGATAGCCCTTAAGCATAGCTCTTGTTATCCCCTTCAGCTTCCTCAATAGCTGTTGCTGTACTCCAGTGTGCTGTGGGGAATGACCATACTACTGAGGCTGTCCCTGATCACGAACAACTTGGATATTTTCAGCAGAGAGTTATACTTCTCACTGTGTTCGGTACTTCCCTTACATTGCAAGGAAATAAGATATTAGAAAAGCATTGCTCAACCACAGTTGACCACCTCAGCTCTTGCTCTCGGAGATGCTTGTACTACAAGTTCTACATCCGACTTATGCAAACACATAGGTCAGAACTGCTGCATTCTGGGGCCAACTGGCTGCTCGAGTCTATGACAGCTTTATTGCCCTACAATTGGAGAAGTAGATATCTCCTTCAGAAATAGCTTGAGAATGACTTTTTGTTGTTGTTATTTTAGGCGTAGCTGATGTTTCTTTGGGATTTTCTGTCTGCAGCTCTACTAGACATTGCTGAGAGAAGCAATTCTGTTGACAAGTTGCCCCAGAGCATGCTGTAAATGGGATACAGTACCTCACTTGTGGGTTCTGGAGATACCTCCTTGTGTCATTTTTTGGTTAAATGTTATCTCTCAGATGCAGAAAACATGCATGTTGAAAAAAATTATTGTTATTCAACTCTCACAAACACAGCTGAAACTGCTGCCAAACAAAAGAGTTAGCTTCCACTGCCAAATAAAGAGTTAGCCCTTAACTGATTGCTGCTGCAATAAAATAGCTCTGGAGATCCGTTTCTCTGGAGCCTTTGGTGATATGAGACAAGCAATTTTGATTTAATCTTAAATATATATATTTAAATGTTTTGACAATTTCTTCTACACTTAGACACATCTTTATCCTTTTTGTTTCCAGACGACTAAAACCAGCTGGCCATTTTTCTATTGTTATTTTATCTGCCTTTGGAGCTTGAAGAGACTGAAGTTCTTACAGACTAAAATCAATTTACGTCAGTTTCTGCAAGCTCAAGAAGATCAAATAATTTGAACAAGCATTGAGAGACAGATCTTTGATGTACACAGGTTGTAACCAATGGTGTATGCCAATTAAGGGCATGGCCTTGGGCTTTGGTATTTCTTCTGCGGGATTTTAGCTTTGAACTCCTGAGGTCCCTTGTTACCAATTTCCTTGCAGAGCATGTTTCCCACTTAAACAAACATTCCCAGGGCTCTTTGCATAGGACAGGATGTCCAAGATTCTGATTCACTCGTGATCTTGCTGAAATGAATCATATATTATTTCAATTAATTACTCAGCTAAATGTGTACGTTTGGTATTATTCTATAGGATTTTGGTCTCTTTTTTTCTATCTCAAGATGTATTCCTTGAGGGAGCAACCAGGACAGCTGCTAAGGAATGATGTCACTCATTAGCTTCACACTGGAAAAGTAAACATGTTAGCTAGCAAATGTCTTACACGTCTATGTTTATTTGTGACCAATAACTAGTTTGGAGAATGTCTACAGCTGTGACTGAAACACAATAAAATAAGACAAGACAAATGTCAACACCTTTGTTGCCAAACACAAAGCAAAGCAAATGGCTTTATCCTAAACTGAAAGTCCCTTTCTGCATGCATAAAAATGCTTGTGGTTCCACTTACTGCAGAGAAAAGCCAGGAGCACAGTAACCGATGAGATCTCCAGCCACCTCTCAGAGCTACAGTTTGTCCTCCCATCACCGACCTGGGTGGGACGCAGCTGCCGAGATATTTGTTTATGAAACTCCCAAACTTTGTTCATCAAGCTACGCTGCTTGAGCTAACAGCCAAACCTCCTCCCCTTTGGATCCATTCAAGTGACTTGGGGAGCCCATGGGGAGCCAGGAGAGGGAAGGCATTTTTCCCCTATGTTAAATAATAGCTCAATTTTCAACACATCATTAACTATTGCAGCTGCAGCAGAATCAAGTTAAGTAGGGAAAAGAATGAAAACAACAACAATCCCCCAAACTGAATTATAAGCTCTATGAGGTGGTTTAATCAGTGGCTCAACTCTGCTCTCCCTCTTGAAGAGCTCTCAAGGATACAAGGATACATGTGAGACTGCACAGAGCTCAGCTCCAGTGCTGGCTCTGGCTGTGAGGAAACCCTCCCTGGCCACAGCATGTTGCAGAGAAGCAGAGGGCGCTTGGCAAAGTCCCTTAAAGAGACATAGGCAGCACTCTGAGCTTTAAAGAACTGGGAGACACGGATATCGTCCTGCTAAACCAAAGCCATCTGAAATGTGTTTACTTGCAGGACAGACTTTGTCAATACTGCATCAGTTGTCACATTTGTCCCTAGGGACAAAGTGGTTCTTTGTGCCTTTTCAGAACTCTTAAAAACACCGTTTTCATCCCCCTGTTTACAGCTAGCAGACACACGAGACCCAGCAAGACATCTCTTAACCTCATCTCTTCAAGTTTCTGGACCAAACCTGTCACTGTGATCTGGTTTCCTTGAAAATTCTAAATTCAGACTGTACCAAACCCCCCTCTACTCTGCTCACCCCACTGGCACGCTTCCCATAATCAAAATCAGACTATGCTCTTGATGGACCTGCTAGCATATCTGGTTTCCTTCTCATCTGGTTTTGAATTCTCCCTAATCCCCTAGACCTTAGGCCATAAAATAACTCTGATCGTTACAGACAAAGGCAGCACAAATGTGCACACTGCTCTCATGCTATCCTTCAAAGGCAGCTCACCTCTAACCTGTGAGAATCGTCTTCACTGGATGCAGTAAATCAGACAGCAGCTCCATCTATACGGCTGTTCTGGCCCTGGCTCCTCCATTAGTACTGCCAATGGGATATTAATTCAGAGTTTTAATAACAGTGTTTTGCAATTTCCTGGCTACTCTGCAGCTGAGGTAAATGGGACATGTGAGTGCATAATAGCTTTAAAAAAAAAAAACAGTGAAAGAGAAAGGAAAAGATCAAGTGACATCAATCAGGTGGGATGGTCTGAACATGAACCATAATTGGGTTGCTGCTTCTCAGGGTAATGCAGCTAAAGGGGCCTGCCTCAGAGCAGGCAGTTACCTGATGTGCACACAGAAACTGAGCACAGATCTCTGAATTTTCACAAGTTAACTAAATAGTGAGCAAACTGAGTTTTTCTGCAAGGGTATTTTTGTATTGTTATCTTAAGAGTTGTTACTCAGATTGCTCAATTTGTATTGGTAAATTAATGATGTGCACTAGTTGAGAGTCATAATGCGAAGGCATGCTTTGATTAGAATGTAGGATGTACTGGATTAGGAAAAAATTAAATCACACAGCATCTCCAGCATTCTTTCAGAATATTTGCTGCAAAAGGACTTTTTTTTGCCCTAACAATAAATCCAGCTGAGATTCTCTGAGATTCCTTCATGCTGTTTTAATTATTACATAATAAGGATAAAAATCTCATAAACTTGAGGACTTCCCTCTCGCTTACAAACATACTTTTTTAAGCTGCTGTTTAAGCACTCTCCAGAATTTCAGCAACATGTGGTGCTGGGGTTGGAAACGTCAGGGCCAGTGTTTTGCATGTTGCCATTGCCAGCTACCAGCAGCACTGGTGATAACAAAAGCAAACCACTTTCAGGAAGTCTTAATTCTCTGCTCAATTCTGAGTGATGCAAGTATGTAACCACAGTTCCATATATGTGCACGTGCCAAACTATGGCTGAAGAAATGAACTCCTCTTACAGCGGGCTGTGGTACTCAGTGGATCCGCCAGGATGAAAGATGTAGATGGTGGTGATAGTTAGGGAAATGTACAAAGCCAGATGAAATGTATACCGAAATTCGAAGTGGACCCAAGTGGAACAACCAGTTAGTTATATTAAGTTGTGCAAGTACCCCTTTAAACGACAACTAAATGAAATTAGAAAGGATATTTATGGATATTTATTGTTATTCACTCAAAGGAAAAAAAAAACAAAAAAGAAAAAAGAAAAAATACAACCAAAGCAAATTCAGCTGCACTTCTTTCTATTAACTTCTTTTGGTAGCCCAGCTTTTTTTGTTTCAGTTTGAGTTTCACTGCAAGCACCCAACTGGCAGCTGTCAGAAGGTGAGCATCCCACTACCCAGGCAGTGGCCACCTCTTCTACACTGACCTAGAGGAAATCTCATGGAGGAAGTGGGTTGAATGCAGTATCACACGAACGCCGTATTTGTGCAGCTGAACTGCACGTCATTCTCTGCACTCTGTGTTTTTGCAGCTGGAATATCTAATTTGTCCTATTACCCGCACACTGTATAGAATCTCATGCAAAATGCTGTTGTGAGTCTATCAGAGCAATAGAGATGTACATAAGTTATTACAGCAGATTTTAGCCACATTCCTTTGTTGTCATGGGGAAAAAAAAAATTGCCTCATTCTGTCTGCTACAGGGCAAGGATTCCTCTATTCCACGTCTTTGCTGCAGTGCCCTGGCCAGCCTAACCACCTTACCAAATAAATGGGCCAGTTATGAAGACTTCAGTGCACTTGCTAACCTGGCGTTATGAATGCCAACAGCTCAACGAGGGGCTCTAAGCATGCAACTCCTCTTGCAGCTAAGAAGCAGCAGGAATGAGGACAGCTGGCAGAGAAGAACCTGTCTCAGGGATCATTAAGTGGCAGTGCTTTAGGAGAAACACTGGACAAGACTTCTTCCCTCACTGAAATTCTAGATATGCAGAGGAAGTATGGCTCAGAGGAGAGGAGGGCTCACTTCCGCAGTGCAGAATGCAAGCTTTTGCATCAGTGATACTCCATCTGCAGAAGCAACCAAACTTTGATCAGGGTTTTCCTCTTCTAAAGGAGTACATGTCAATGTAGGCATTGAACAAACATGCTGTAAACTAAACCATTTAAATGTCACATTACACAAAAACATCGGCTCACCTAGAAAAACACAGCACTCCTGCTCACCCCAAATCTCTGGGTTGAAGAGCACCCAAAACAGTTTCACACCCGGATTTATCTGCCCAGGCATTGCCAAGCATCTTTCAAGTGAGGATTACAGTCTGTTCTTCAAAATGTTCTTTAGGGAGGGAAAAAAAAACGAAAAAAAAACCCAACCCACATCACAAATATCTACATTGCTTTCAGCTTATCTTCACTTATGTTAGCTTCTCTTCACTCAGATTCTCATCTTGTTTAAATCACTATGGAAACCACAGAGTTTTAATTTGCAAAGGGAAGACTGTAATACTAAATGCTAATTGAATAGTGACAGCCTGGGAGCCTCCCAAATGTCTTTTTACAGACTCATATAAATGTTTACTAGGAATGGGAAGAGACTGAAACCTGTGGAAAACAGAGGGAAAAGAAATTACCTTCCCCTGGCTTCCATTGGAGGAAATGAAATAAATCTTAATCTACAAATAACTTGTTTGAGAAGCATAATCACGTTTGAGGGTTTTTTTTCCCTCTATTCTTTTCCAGATTTTCCCACTAAGGTAAGACCCTCATGGACATAGTGAAAAAACACCCTCAGACTGGGGAAGGAGAGCTGTTTTTCTTTGCTCCTCTTTGAGAGTGAGTTTCTCTAAGGACTTCTACGCTCAGCCTCACTCTCCTGTCCCTCAGCTGCTCTGATATGCCTCTGCCTGATGTCAGAAGCTGCATCTGGCTGTAGATGCAAGAAGTGGTATAAAAAGGAGCAAATCAGGCTCCTTCAGCTCATGAAGGTGGGAGGACAGATCTTACACAATCAAATGGAACACTGAAAACACAAACAAATCAGGAGATGTAACAGGTTTTCACTTTCTATACTGCCCTTATTAATCTCTTTAATAGAAGCAAAGACCTTCCAAGGCTTATGTAGCCATGAATTTTGCAGCATTCTCTGCTGACTGAGGATGAGGGCCACTAATTAAAGGTCTCCAGCTATGTGGCAGCCTGGACCCCTGTGGTTATCAGCACAGCAGTCCCAGTTTATAGAGGCAACACCAATTCATTAGATATCATGGCATCATGGGCTCAGCTCTCTAATACATGGTTCCATGTCCAGGAGCCAAAACCTGAGAGCGCTAGCATCAGCGAGGCCGGTTCATTAGCATGATGCCAACACCATCGTGTTGTTATTGGTTCAGCACTTTTGCTTGCTGAAATAAGGCCTACACGTGAGTCTTGCCCAGACTCTTTGCTCAGCATGCTCATCCCTCTGAGTTAGGGCAAAGTGCTGGCTGTTTCTTGCTGAGCATGTGTAGTTTGCTGTGTTGACGCCAAGAGGTTAATAAACCTCAACAAGCCGCTAGTCATTCCTGATGTCTGATGAGCCCATAGGCATGGCTAGCATGCCTTCCTCAGCATCATGGGCAGAAAATGTTTGCTAGATTTCAGAAAAAGGAACAACTGTCATTTCTCACCAGTGCATTTTTAACAAATCAACAATTGCAGGCAATTTGCTTCCTGTGACAGCATGCAAAACAAGAACCCAGAGCACCTTTCTCTTTACTCATTTGCTTCTGATGCTTGATGCAATGACACTCATTGTATCCATATATTCAGGCTGCACTGGCAGAAGGACTCCCTGCTTGTCAACAGAGGATGGAGTATGTTCTGAAAATTCCTGCAGGACTGGAACCCACAAGGGTCTGCATACACACGCTCTTGCTGAGTGCCAGCATGAGGCCAGGCCACAGCATCACCTCCTCAGGCACACACTGAGGAACTGGACGCTGGGCAGCCTGATCCAGTGAATGGCAGCCCTGCCCACAGCAGGAGTTTGGAACAGAATGGGCTTTCAAGTCCCTTCTAACCCCACACATTCTATGATTCTATGAACTGCCACCACTTCATGCTGAAGGCAGCTTTATACCTGCTGGTAATGGATAACGACTTCACAGATAGTAAGGCCAGGATGGACAGTTAGAGTTGTCTGGTACATAACCTAATAACCTAACCATTAATAACCACAACAGAAGGATTTCTTTAAATACATTAATTTCCTATTAAACTATAGCAAAACTGTGTTAGGAAGCTATCTAGTCTTGATTTGAATGCATCAAGAGAAAGAGAACAAAGGAAAGATGACCAGTATACGAGGCCTTTCCAGCAGGAAAGAAAGAAGACAATACTACAAACTGTAACATTTCATAGGGAATTTGACAATGAGAGAGAAGGGACGAAAAGCATTCTGGAGTTTTCTTTGGGACAAAAAAGATACATTAGCTCAATTTTCATATGTAGCTCTGCAGAGAAGGATCTAGATGTCCTGGTGAACAACAAGGTTGGCCTTGAGTCAGCAGTGTTCCTTTGCTGCCAAGAAGGCCAATGGTATCCTCAGGTGTCGCCAGCAGATTGAGGGAGGTGGTTCTCCCATTCTACTCAGCCCTGGTGAGGCCACATCTGGAGTACTGTGTCCAGTTCTGGGTTCCCAAGTTCAAGAAAGAGAGAGATCTCCTACACAGAGCCAAATGAAGGGCCACCAAAATGATGAGGGACCTGAAGCATCTCTCATATGAGGAAAGACTGAAAGACCTGAGACTGTTCAGCCTGGATAAGAGAAGGCAGAGAGTGGATCTTATCAACACTTGCAAATATCTAAAATGCAGGAGTCAAGAAGATGGGTCTGGGCTCTTTTCAGTGGTGCCCAATGACAGGACAAGTGGCAATGTTCAAAAACTGGAAAACAGGAATTTGCTTATGAACATGAGCAAAACCTTCACACAGGGTGATGGTGCACTGGTACAGGCCTCCCAGAGCAGTTGTGGAGTTTCCTTCTCCAGAGATATTCAAGACCTGTCTGGAAGCTTTCCTGCATGACCTGCTGTAGGGGATTTCTTTCGCAAGGCGTTGGATTCA